AGCAATCTAGTTCTTTGGTATTTACCCAAAAGAGCTAAAACTATGTCCACATAAAAACCTGCATACACACGTTAACAGTAGCTTTATTCGTAATTGCCAAACTTGGAGGCAGCCAAGATGTCCTTCAGTAGGTGAGTGGGTAAGTAAACTGTGAGCATCCAGACAGCGGAATCTTATTCAATGCTAACCGGAAATGAGCCACCAGGCCATGAAAAGACACCCAGGCACCTTAAATGCACATTACCAAGTGAGAAAAGCCAATCTGAAAATGCTACATACCATATGACTCCAACTATTTGATATTCTAGCAGAGATAAAAACTGAGGAGAGGCCGGGCGCTGTGGCTCACGCCTGTAATCCTAGCTCTTGGGAGGCCGAGGCGGGCAAAACCAGCCTGAGCAAGAGCGAGACCCCGTCTCTACTATAAATAGAAAGAAATTAATTGGCCAACTGATATATATATAAAAAAAATTAGCCGGGCATGGTGGCACATGCCTGTAGTCCCAGCTACCCGGGAGGCTGAGGCAGAAGGATCACTCGAGCCCAGGAGTTTGAGGTTGCTGTGAGCTAGGCTGACGCCACGGCACTCACTCTAGCCTGGGCAACAAAGCGAGACTCTGTCTCAAAAAAAAAAAAAAAAAACTGAGGAGAAAGTAAAAAGATCAGCGGCTGCCAGGGGGTTAGGGAGGTTTGCATAGAATTTTCAGGGCAGTGACAATACCCTATATTGTACTATAATGATGGACACATGCCATGACAGATAGGTCCAAACCCAAAGCATGCACAGCACCAGGAGTGGACCTTAATGTAGACTGTGGACTCTGGTGACAAAGATTTGTCCGGACGGGTTCATTCACTACAACTGTCTGATGGGAGGTGCTGACAGTGAGGCAGGCTGTGCATGTGTGGGTCAGGTAGTACGTGGGGAATCTCTATCTTCATCTCAATTTAACTGTGAACCTAGGCTGGGCGTGGTGGCTCACACCTGTAATGCTAGCACTCTGGGAGGCCGAAGTGGGAGGATTGCTCAAGGTCAGGAATGTGAAACCAGCCTGAGCCAGAGCGAGACCCCCGTCTCTACTAAAAATACAAAGAAATTAAGTGGACAACTAAAAATATATAGAAAAAATTAGCCGGGCATGGTGGCGCATGCCTGTAGTCCCAGCTACTTGGGAGGCTGAAGCAGGAGGATCGCTTGAGCCCAGGAGTTTGAGGTTGCTGTGAGCTAGGCTGAGGCCATGGAACTCTACTCAGGGCAACAGAGTGAGACTTTGTCTCAAAAAAAAAAAAATAAATAAATAAGTTTTGTCATTACACTTAAATAAATGATGAAATCAGAACGGCAGTCCCACCGTCACATACGCAGAAAAGCTTTCTGTACCCCTTGCCCACATCTGAAACTATCCAGTCTCCAGGTACTGTACATGCCACCTGCAGAGACCCAGATTGTTTTCCTCTGATCACATAAAGTGCCTCTAGTCCACGCTATGTGGGCTAAAGATATTCAAAATTAACAACATAAATTTCAATTAGGCACATGACCTCGTGGTATTGTTCTCCGTGTAGGTAAGTGTTGAGGGAGCTTTCCTAAAGATGGAGTCCTGGGCTCCACCCAAGATCCACTGATCAGCTCATCTGGGAAGGAGACCAAGAACCTGCACTGCAGCCAGCCTGAGACACAGGCTGCAGATGGCATGTCACACACCTGCTTTAACCTGGACGGCCCCCACCTGTGACTGTCACCTTGACGTGGCTACTAGTCCCACCTTTTCCCCTTCCAAGTGTCCCAGTTTGGACAACACTGGGTATAAGTCATCAAGAGCTCAGCTACACCTGAAACCTTCCGATAACCCAGCCTTTGTGAGTTTTGTGTCACAAGACATACAGCAGATCCCACATCCCTTATCTGGCCTCTTTTTGATCAAAGCTTGCTGTGAACCCAGTGCTGGCAGAGGGGACAGGCCAGATGCGTCTGTGTTGTGTCCGCGTCTATGTGCTGTGTGTCTGTGTCTGTGGATGTCTGTGTGTGTTTGCAAACTTCCCCGAGTATCCAGGAACCGACCCGAGGGAAATCTGGAAAGGGCTCCCAGGGAATAAGAGGATCACAACGCTGCCACACTGGACCAAGGCAGTCTCACTAAAGCATTCCTGGCGGGTTAGTATCCCAGCAACAGGCGCAGCCCCATCCACAGACCTCTAGTGCATCTTCCCCTGGACTTCTCTCCTGCTGACCACATGTGCTGGCCCAGCCCAACCCTTGCTGGGTGCCTCCCCCATTCTCCCTGCCCCAGGCTCCCTCCCCAACCTCTCCCATGGCTGCTGGCAGACCTGTCGCCCCACACTGACTCCAGGACAGACAGTAAACAGATCACTTCTGGGTGTTCAGCCCATACCCAGTGTTGGTACCCAGATGGTTTTTTAAAAGGAATGAACTCATAAGCACCAAAGGCAGAGGGCCAGACTAACCCATAATTACTCTATTAAAAAAGAAAACCAATTTATAGAAATCCCTCCCTTTTAGTGAGAGCAAGATAATCACAGAGTTCAAAGAGGATCCATTTCTCTAACAGGAAGCAGACACCAGCGTGCCAATGCTAATAAACAGCTGATACTTTAAAAATCATTTTTATGCTCAGAAGCTGACACACGGCAATTCAGTAAACTTTCAAGACACACAGAAGCACCTTAAGAACTACATAATCCCTTTGGAAAAAGCCACCACTCTTTCCAGATAAATCACAGCAGATGATGACTTATTTCCCACCTGCATGTTATTTTTCAGAAACTGCCATACTTCAGCAAACCAGAGCTGGAGTATGGTGGATCTTGAGGTGTGACCCGGGTTCCGTGAGCATGAAGCCCAAGGGGTCACAGTCTGCATGAGGGGCATGAAAAGAGCCCCTTCTAGCATCATCTAAACATGGCTGGTCGGCCCTCACTGTCCTGTGTCCTGTGCAGCTAGCAGACTTGCCCAGACCAGCAGCGAAACCTTGGGCAAGTCGTTTACCTTTTGCTGGGCCTGTTTTCTGGAGGTAAATCGTAGCTGACAAAGGGCCCTTGCTGGGGGGGCTTCCTATCCCCCCCCAACAGCAGGTGAGCCCCACTGGGTCGCCAAGGCCCCACCAGCAGCTTGACCGTCACTCCTACCTCCCTGACCTGCTGTAAGACCCAAGACCCCAGTGGTGGCAGCGAGTGTGGCCTGGCAAGGCAGGGACCCAGATGGACCTAAAAAGGAGCAAACGAAGTATCGTGGGTGCTGATGCCAAACCAGCGCAAAGGAACCACAACTGCACTGCTCCCCACACAGGATCTGAGAGCACTGACCCACACTACACTGCTCCCGCCCCGTCTGAGCACAGCACACTGGGCTGACCCTACACATGCCGGCAGGGAAAGCCATCAGAAACTAAGCCTTACTGAAAGGCCACCAACAGGCTTCTCGGGGGAAACCACCTTCCTGCAGCTGAAGTAACAGGCTGACTATAAGATAATGATGGCAAGGCTGCTGTGCAGCAGATTAAAGCACCCACTCTCGGTGTCATGGGCTTCCTCTGCTGGAATGCCCAATCAAAGAAGCCATTTTACCACTTGCAAAGGAAAACACCAAACTTGCCAACAGAGTTGTGGGATCCTACCAGGAGTTCCTAGGGCTTGTGGTGCAGGGCATGCGGGTGCAGACTGGCCTAGATGCCCAAGAACCAACCACATGTTTCAGAAAGGCAACATGAGGCAGGACAATGGGGGCCAGCCCCACCTCGGAGGGCTGTCTAGGTAGACCAAACGGGAGCAACAGCAACTATGAACCCATTATGGAAGGGGGTGGGGGAAAGCTCAGCTTCTCTCCACCAGACACTGTGCTACCCCCGAAAGGACCGGCCAGGGAGACCACTCTCACTCAGATGTGGGTGGGGGTGTTCTACAGAGTTAACCAACAGCCCTCTTTACAGCCCCCCTCAGCACCAACAGGCATGAGCACATGCACACACGTGCAAAGACATGCAAGCATGTACACACAGGGAAGCTGAGGTGAAAGGATCACTAGTATTTCTTTAAATTTTAATTTCTCATTGACCTTCCTGATTTATATGAAGCCAAAGAAATGAGCATCCTTGGTTGTCACATTATAATTAGAGATAAATACATTCAGTTTAGGATCACGATTATGAAGCCTACTGATGCAGTCACAAGAGTCCCCCAAATACACGGAAGTAAAAATCTTAAAACAGAGTTTTAAGATTTGTCTATCAGCTTGCACCCCAGGGCCAGTTGTCTGCAGAGCCTTCCAGCAGACCCAGAAGCCTATAGCTCCCACCAGGGATGTAGCTGGCCTAACAGCTTCGGTCCGTGGCCCCTAAGAGCCATTCTCAACACTGTAAACAGGCAACCACCTAAAATGCCAAGTCAGATGAGCCGCTGCTTGCCTCTACCTCCTCACTGGGCCCAGACTGGCTCCTGGAGTCCTTCCAGAGCCCGCCATTCTCCAGCCACATCACGGGACCCTGGCCATGCAGCTCCCACACACAGGTCCACCTCAGGGCCCTGCCCTGCTGTGCCCGGGACTGTCCCGCCTGCCAAACAGCTAATTGTCAGCACTGCCAGTGTGACTCCAGGCTCTCCCCTTACCCTCCCCACCTGCTAAAGGCATATCAGATTGAAAGGGAATGCAATGGGGTATCTGAAGTTAAACAGGCACACTCTAGTGAAAGCTTACACAATAGTACATTTTTTTATATTAGATCAAATCAAAGTATTTATTGCTCCACTTGCTAAAATTCAGAGGGCAAGGCATTAGGATTTGAAATGTCTCTTGGACTTCTACTAAAACAGTTTCAGTAGATAGATGGGAACAAGGCACAGCATCTGACACTCAGAAAGCATGTAATAAAAGCTCAGTTAAGAAATTACACTGAAACGAGGACAAACTGCCCACAAAGAAAATATTCTCTGCACCATTTAGCTTCTGTTAAAATACATAAAGACTTGCTCATTTCACTTCTTACCTCTGATCTTTATACAGTTTCCGTGATTTGCACAATTAGCCGAGTAGACGGTTTTCTGCTTTTTAATTAAAAGGCAGTGAAGGTTTTTCTTCCCCTTCTTTCTAATTGTTCTGAGTGTGGATTTGCTAGTTTAAGCCACTAGGGTCAGAATGAAGCTTTGGCTGCCATGGCAACAGCAGCAAGCTCGGAAACTGCGCAGCTCCTGGAATTCTAGCTAGGAATTTGGAAGACTAAGCTTTGGCATCAACCTAAAATGCCGAATGAGGCCGGCACAGTGGCTCATACCTGTAATCCCAGCACTTGAGAGGCCAGGGTGGGAAGACCACTTGAGCCCAGGAGTTCAAGACCAACCTGGGAAACATAGTGAGACCTGATCTCCACACAAAAAAATTTAAGAATTAGCCAGGGCAAGGCAAGGTGGCTCATACCTATAATCCTAGCACTTTGGAAGGTAAAGTCAGGAGGATCACTTGAGCTAAGGAGTTCAAGACCAGCCTGAGCAAGAATGAGACCCCATCTCTGCTAAAAATAGAAAAAATTAGCCAGGCATGGTGGCACATGAACCTGTAGTCCCAACTACTCAGGAGCCTGAAAATCATCTGAGCCCAGGAGTTCAAGGTTGCTGCGAGCTAGGCTGACATCACAGCACTCTAGTCAAGGCAACAGAGCAAGACTCTGTCCCAGAATGAATGAACGAATGAACGAACGAACGAACGAATGAACGAACAAACGAATAAGTAAATAAATAAATAAAATATCAAATGAGCAACTAAGCCCAAAAGTTCTAGGATCAATTAGAATCTCTGACTACTTTATCTAGGAGCAAACCCAGGTACAAATAAACTCAGCCTCTGTTGTCCATAAAATGGAAAAGAGAGAGGCAGGTCAAATAACAGCATGTGTAATAACAAAATAATATCAAAAGATGAAAATAAAAACTCCTCACATTACATACATATAATCAAGATCTGACCTCAAAGACAGGGGCATAATTAAGGACTGCCACTAAAGACTGTCAAGATGTAATTAGACCTTTTGATGGTACTTCTATGTAAAATCAAATCATAGTGGTTTCCAGATCCTGAATTTTTCCTAAGACAAAAAAGAATGCAGCGCCTCAAAAGTAAAAACTGGAAACAACTTAACTGTCTAACAATACAGAACTACTTAAATTATGGTACATGAGTAATCAGATAAACACAAGATGTCAATGTTTTTAAAGAGGAGAAGTATGAAGTATATTTGAGAAATGTTAAAATCAAAGCTAGTTTTTAAAAAGTATAAAGTTTTGGTGATTGAAGAAAACATATGTATAGCTTTGGCCTAGGACTAGATTTATTCTTACTTTCTAAAACCAAAACACAACAAAACCACCACCCTTCTCCCCCTCCTCTCCTTCCACCCTTCTCCCCTCTTCTCTCCTTACACACTAGGGACTTCACCTGAAACAAAGGTTGAAGGTCAAGGATGCACAGGGACCGAACGAGTCGTGTCAGTTCTGTTTGCGAGACACTATGGCGAGGCTGAGCCTCTAAAAATGTGGGTTAGTATCAAGTGAAGCCCCACAGTCCTTTGGAATCCCTTGTGTTAACTGACAGGAGGGCTTCCCCATGAGGAAGACAGGGCCTCTTGCAACTGGGGTCCCGTGCCCCTCCGCTGGGCCCCCACAGTCTTGTGGGCCACTGCAGACAAGGACAGAAGAGAGGGCAGGATGACTGCTTCCTCCTCCTGCTCTCCTGGAACTTGAAGGGACAGCTCTCAGGAGGGGATGTGCAAAGGGGCAGTGGCCCTGAGTTCCCCTGAATGCATCAATCAGTCTAAAAACCCATATGACATCCCCCTCCTCCACAGAGAGGAGTTATCCCTTAACCTGGTGGTCCCCGATTTTCTGAGACAAGGAAACCCAGTGTGGTGCCTACCTGAGTAACCCCCCAGCATCTTAAAAAGTCAGCTGTTCACAATGAAGCTCTCTCTCTGGATTAGGGACAGCAGTTGTGTTCAATATGAGCACTGTCACCTATGGAATTAATTAGGACAGTCCTGGAGCCATCAAAAGTGACTTCTTAAAAACTGGAGTCCTGGTCAGCATGTGTCAAAAACTTTAAAATGTGCATACCCTGGGAGTCCACAATTTCACTCTGGGGAACTCATCATAAAAAAACAAAGCCACAAGAAGCTAGGCACACTGTATCGTACCTGTAGTCCCAGCCTCTAGGGAGTCTGAGGTGGGAGGATCACTTGTGCCCTGGAGTCCAAGGCTGCAGGGAACTATAATTATGCCTGTGAATAGCCTCTGTGCTCCAACATGGGGAACACAGCGAGACTCTGTCTCTAAAAATTAAAAAGAAAACCATGCCACAGGAATGTGCATCACCCACTAAGAACCCTTAAGTGTCCAAAAAACACTGTTTAACTGAAGTATGGCATATCCATGTACAAAGTCAGGCTGTATGACTATTTGTTGACATGGAAATACATTTACCTAACATTAGGATTATGCAGGTAGTAAGTCAAGTGCATGTTATGATCACATTAAGTTTTTAAATAAAGGTATGGATGCATAGAGAAAGGTGTTATTTCTGCATGATTCACAGATTCTTTCTGCTTTTATAGGACCTAAACTTGATCTTTCATTTTTTTTTAAAAAAAAACAGTATTTGTTGTTGCCTATCCGAACATCATTCAAGATCTTGCTATATGATATGAGATTCAGAAGTGTTTTAAGAAGACCAATTTGAACCTCAGTGGGCCTAGACTGTCCCACAGAGGCTTGCAATGCAAGCAGCTCCTCGGAGGGGCAGATGTGGGGTGAGGAGGGCAGGCCTCAGAGGCTAATCGTGGACCGAGATACTGGCAAGTCTGCTTAGGTGGTGGTTCAGACTCAAAACTGATTAACTGATTTCTCAAGAAATACCACAGAAGCATTCCCCAATATGACACTGGCTCTGCAATCCCACCTAGGAATACAGCAGGCGCCTCCCAAATGTTTTTGGTACATGGATGTTCATTCCTCCTGGATACCTGGAGGGGGACCTCATTCTCTCTGTTCCAGTGTCCAAGCTTCCACACCCCCACAGAGCCTCTCACTCCAGAGCACCTGTGTTCAGCCTCATAGAGGTCAGACTATTCTATGCTCTCTGCCTTTGCCTCATCAGATTGAAGTCAAGCACAACCTACCCCCCAGCCGCTTGCTGTATTTATCAGATTCTCCCACAATGCACCGCACTTATGGGTACCCATGGGTCAGCCCCAACTACAAGGTGCTGAGTTTAGCAGAAAGAAAGAGGAGTCAACTGCTCTTTTCTCTTCTCTCCAGGCTAAAAGAGACAACAAATCAGAGGAGCCTTGTGCCATGGACCCCGACCCCAACAGGTACACAAGGGATAAGGAAGCTCTCTACTTCCTGTCTGGACAATTTTCTGCGTCCTCCCTGCTTGAGGCCTGTTAGAGGCAAGGACCCTCAAAGACCCTCAACTCCCCTATGACTCGTCCTACGCACGGACTTCGCCCTGGAAAATTCCAGCTATAGCTCCGAGAAGAATGCATTCCATGACGTGCTGACCACGGGATGCTCCAGGGAGTGCTGACTGCAACTGTTCCCGACCACCTGCCAGGTTGGAGATGAGTAACCAGTCAAAAACAGGATACCGATAAGACGCTGATTGGGGCTGATTAACCCAGACCCAAGCCTCATCGTCGCCCCACTCTATTTTTTTGTTTCTACTTCCTTGTTTCTGTATGCTTATAAAACCTACTAAGAATCTAAGTAAAGCAGACCTTGACAACCATTTGCTTGGTCTCGTTCCTTTCTCTTGCTCATCTCTTTCAGGAAAGGTCCCCCTTGACCCCCGCGAGTAACAGAAGGTCCCGCGGGCCGGGACAGAGGCCCAGAAAGCACCGACTCCCAAGGCCAAAACAGCCCACCTGGCTTCTCAGCTGAAGACATCAGCAGGCACCTTCCCAACTCAGTAAGCCCTGGGTGCTGATGTCTGCCAGGCCCAAGCACAGCCCTGAAGGATCAGATCACTGGCAAGGGAAGGCGAACTTACCTGGAAAGCTCAGAATCCCAGGCGGCTGCCATCCCAGGGGAGCACCCAATGCCAGGTCAGTCAGTGGTCCATGCATGTGTAGCCACACCAGCCACGCAGAATCACGTGTGGACAGAAAGCTTTTTTTTCATTATTCTGGGACACTAGCACACTTCATCAGAAGCCTTTTCGTTGGAAGCTCAAAGCAGATTTGAGTCAAATAAGGACCAGGATGTAACTATGTAACAGGCCTATAGACAAGACCGATTCCAAAGAACGTCGACTGACCCCTGCCCTGTACACGAAAACCCTGCTATGTGCTGGACAAAGGTTCATGAAACTGAAGCAGAATTGTCTTTAAAACCTAGAAAAACAATTAACCCTAGGTACTCTGGGCACAGTGGAGTCCTCAAATTCATACTATATTTACTTTATGGAAACTCCAAATGACAACAAAAGTCTGTGACTTAAAAGTCTATCATAGACAGACACCACATGTGCTAAAATGAACTTGATGAATGTACTTTAGATTTGACCTCTTCTGTAAACAAACGGTAATTCACTTATAAGTCACCGCTTTTATTTATTTATTTATTTTTTTATAATGAAAACTGGTTGAGGCTGAAGGTCACCGCTTTTAAATACGGCACTTCTCACCCAAGAATCAGTGGGTTCCAGGACACCCCTCTGCACCTCACTCCAGTCGGGCTCATGGCGGGGACTCGTGTTCTGACAGTGCCGAGGCCAGGCAGCTGCTTACCTCAGCATCTGGGGAGCGAACCCCCAAACAACACAGCTAATCACCATCTTTTACACACAGCCTGAGAGGCCCACAGGGCCACTGGCATGACAGGGACGAATGTCTGTGCGGCAGAACATGGGAGCAGGTGCCAGAAGACACAGAGGACTCACACTGCTCCCCGCCCACAGGCCACCAGCAGCTTGGGGTGCTGCCACTCCACCAAAGGGGAAATGGAGGAACTGCAAGTGAGCAAGAAAGTAGAGTCAGCTGCCCAAAGAGGAAGTGCCAGGGCTGTGCACTAAGGTAGCAGCAGGGCAAAAACACACACGTGCAAGAGCTACGTACTGGGCCGCTGGGCACGGGCAGGGCCACTCTCACCCGCTAGAGGAGCACCCCTGCAACCCCACGCAGCCCCTGCCTCCCCCAGGCACTCTTCACCACCAGGCTGCTCCCGGGAGGCCCACCCTAGCCAGACCTGCCAGGCCTAAACCCAGCCTCTGGTGACAGTCTAT